AGGCAGAGCTGTCGGGCTTCTCCCCAGTGGTAAGAGCACGAAGAGCTGTGCAGGAACCAGTCCCTCCTCTCTGGTCTGTAGCAGCTTGAGAGCTGAGAGGTGGTCTGAGTACAGCTGCATTGATAACAAGCAGCAGAGCAACAAGTCACTTTGCAGAATCCTAAGGGGAGAAGGGTGTTAGTTGTATTAGTTTGATGAAGGCTGTTGTCTCCAATCTGGGTGTTGAGAATTCAGTGCCACAGGGCTGGTGATGCAGCAGCAGGACAGGGCGAGCCATGCTCCAGCCTTCTGCTGACCTGCGGAATTGCTTTGATAGCTATGCTTCATGCTCAGAGAATGTGAGTGCCTCCTAAAGAAATCAGCTGTCCTGGTGTCATGTACAGAGGCTCCTCACCACCGGAAAAGGGAGATGAGCAGCACTGGTGTCTCTTACACAATTCCCTGCTCTCAGTCAGACTGGGTGGGACCTTTCTATATGTGCACCACAGAAATGGACCAAGTGTCTTCCTTTACAGGAGCTCTGGGCATGTAGCTGGGCTGTGAGATGGGAAGCTTCAGCTTCCAAAGGAATGCAGACGCTTGAACTGCTGCTACTTGTAGAAGGCTTCATTGGGCCCAGCATGACTGCAGAAGGGAAGGGGTGTTTTGTTCCTTGGTGATCCCAGGAGAGGAAGAAGGATCAAAGCCTTCTGAGACTCCTACAGGCTGATCCCATCTTTTGCTGGCTCTTTCAGGTTCTTCACTGAGGGCAGGCAAAGCTTCAGGCAGTGAATTATTGCAGGAAAGCCAGTGAGCTGAGACTGTCCTTCCCTGGCAGTGCAACGAGCACTTTGCCCAGCCCCATCCTGCTTTCATACTGTCCCTGTGCAGCAGAGTCTCTCCAGCAAAGCATTTCTGCCAGGAAGCTCTGGTCTGTGCAGAGGTGCCTGTAGGCAGTGCTGGTAGTCAGACACCCAGGAATTTGTCCCTCTGCCTTCATCCCATGCAGGTGGATGTGAAAAAGACTGCCCTGGCACTGTCAATCACCGATTCTGAGCTCTCTGATGAGGAGGCTTCCATCCTGGAGAGTGGGGGCTTTTCTGTCTCAAGGGCTACCACCCCACAGCTGACGGATGTTTCTGAAGGTACGTGACAGGACACTTTGCTGCCTTTCTGACCCTGAGCATTTTGTCCTAGAAAAGCTGTCCCTCCAAGCACTGGGAGAGAACCTAGCTATTTGCAGGGGGAAGAGCATTCAAAGGAGGAAGGGGTAATAGCAGCGCAGCGTGCATGGCTTCATGGCTGATGAGGAGCTGGTCCTGAGTGGACATCTGCCTCTGGTTACTGCCCCACAAGACAATGTTCTCTTGTCGCTCCTGGAAGGGAGCAAGGCCATCCACCAAGTCCTGCAGAAATAATTGCATGGTATAGTCACGCCCATATATGATGCTGGGTGAAACGGGTCGGACACCCTGCCCTGTCAGACTGGCAAGCTCAGAGAAAGACTGGTTAGTGGTGAGGAATGTGAAGGTAACCACTCGGATGTGGTCACTTGAGTGTCCAGGGAGGACCAGGCAGGTGACGTGCTGTAAGCACAATTTTCCTGACCCTGTGGGTTTTAGTGGAGGGCTCTAGATGCAGAGAGCGTGAGCTGGAGAAGGAAGCCCTCTGTGAACACAGAGCACGTAGAACAGGCTGAGAAAAGGGACGCTCCAGGTGAGTCATGCCACTGGGAGAAGGGAATAACTGCAGACCCCTTCCTGCTGTGCTCCCAGCGCTGGGAGGATGCCCAAAAGTGAGCCCTGGTGTGTCAGCTGGGGGGAGGTGTCGGTGAGGGGTCGAGGTGAGGGGACCTGCGCCTTAATGCTGGTGCCTTTCAGACCTGGATCAGCAGAGCCTGCACAGCGAGCCGGAGGAGTCATTTTCCAAGGACCTGGCAGAGTTTCCCTCCGTGGAAGAATATCATTCCAGAGACCTGGGACCACAGAGCGATGAAGATGCATTTGGCGTGCCTCTGGGTCCTGAGCTTGCCCACGCTGCCCGTGAGCTGGACTCGGCAGAGGAGGCGGCTGCGGACTCTGACCTCTCCATCCTTCACCTAGCGTCTCCTCTCCATTTTGTAAATACGCACTTCAATGGGAGCGGGCAAGCGGCAGGAGGCAACGCAGAGCCAGAGACTGTCCCTGCCCCGGGCCTGGGCATCTGCATCAACACGCTGAGCGAGGAGATCGTCACCACTGCCATTACCACGGCGGTGCAGAACACCCTCTCTGCCCTGCTGCGGTCCTCGGAGGCCAGCGAGGGGCCCTCCCTCTCCGAGTTCCTGCCCACTGAGCCTGAAGAGAAACTGAGCTTCCAAGCACAGCTGTCAGAGACCGAAGCGGTGGAGACGGAGACAGCGGCTTCACCGGAGGATGAGGAGGAAGCAGATGACTTTGAGCTGCTGGATCAGGGGGAGCTGGAGCAAATGGATGTAGAGCTGGGGCTTGGAGAGGAGCAGGAGGCACAAGAGTCTCCTGCTGCGCCGGCTCCCCCCTCTCCCACGCTTGCTGAGCTGCCAAAGCAAGGAGATGAGGAGGAGGCAGTGATGACAGCAGCATCTATGTCTTAGGTCTTCTTCACGCACCCCCTTTTCCTCCATCGTCACTGGAAAGAAGGAAGAACTCACACGGTGAACGTGCAGTGGGTTTTTAGATGTTTGTGTTGACTGGGATGGAAATGCGTCAGTGTTAATGTGCTGTGTCTGGAATAACGAATCCTTTCCATCCTTCTAGAGCCCGGCCTTCGCTGGCTGAGCAGGAGACGCCCCTGCCCTGTGGCTGGGGAGGAGCCGGCTCCTAGAAGCCTTACGCCACAATCGAAACACCAACCCCAGCAAACGCTTCCTAGTAATGGTGCGGTATTTTGGTCTGTCTTCTGTTTGTCTTTCGTTTTGCACGCAGAGTACCGAGCTAGCTGTAGCTGCTGCTAATACCCACATCCCCAGTAGGACATATGCAATCTTATTTTATTGGGTTTTTAAATGGCTAAGAGTGTAAATAATTTTAACTTTCATTGGTTTTGTTTGTGGGGGAGGGATGGGGCGCACAGTCAAACCTGGCTCTCGGGGGCTAGGGGAGGGTGAGGGGTCTTTGGAGGGGAGGGGTAGCAGCACGGGGACAGGAGCGGACGGGCGCTGCCTGGCGAAGAGGCCCCTTCTGCGACCCGTCACCATCTTTCACCTCGCTGCTGGCACAGGGTGTGGGGCGATGCCCGGGTCGTTTCCCCTGTCTGATTTGAGCGCTGCTGCTGGGTGGCTGTGGAGTTTTTTTTGCAATCAATGAAATTCGCTCCTGGCCCTGGGCAGTACTCCGGTTTCTTCCTGCCGCCGCCTCTCCGGGGCATCCCTCGCCGTCCACGCCGCTGACCCTGCCAGCACCGGGTCGGGCACGGTGGCGTGGCACCTGAAGACTTCGAAGCGGCTTGAAGAGAGCCAGGAGCTCCGTTACACAGCGGAGGACGGGAGTTTTGTGCCTCTTTCGGGGCTGGGGAAGGGAGGGA